TAACCTGATCTCCTTCTATGACAAGGTAACCCGCTTAGTGGATGAGGAAAATACTGTGGATGTTGTCTACCTGGACTTTAGTTAAGCCTTTGACATCATTTCCCACAGCTTTCTCCTGGAGAAACTGACTGCTGATGGCTTGGACAGGCATACACTTCGCTGGGTAGAAAACTGGCTGGATGGCTGGGCCCAAAGAGTTGTGGTGAATGGAGTTAAATCCAGCTGGTGGCTGGTCACAAGTGGTGTTCCCCAGGGCTCAGTACTGGGGCCAGTTCTGTTTAATGTCTATATCAATGATCTGGATGAGGGCATCGAGTGCACCCTCAGTAAGTTTGCAGATGAAACCAAGTTGGGCTGGAAGGTTGATCTGTTGCAGGGCAGGAAGGCCCTACAGAGGGATCTGGACCAGCTGGATCGATGGGCCAAGGCCAACTGTATGAGGTTCAACAAGGCTGAGTGCCAGGTCCTGCACTTGGGTCACAACAACCCCATGCAATGCTACAGGCTGGGGGAAGAGTGACTGGAGAGCTGCCCGGTGGAAAAGGAGCTGGGGGTGTTGGTTGACAGCCGCCTGAACATGAGCCAGCAGTGGGCTCAGGTGGCCAAGAAGGCCAATGGCATCCTGGCTTGTATCAGGAATAGTGGACCAGCAGGACCAGGGAGGTGATAGTGCCCCTGTATTTGGCACTGGTGAGGCTGCACCTCAAATCCTGTGTTCAGTTTTGGGCCCCTCCCTACAAGAAGGACATGGAGGTGCTGGAGCGTGTCCAGAGAAGGGCAACAAAGCTGGTGAAGGGTCTAGAGCACAAGTCTTATGAGGAGCAGCTGAGGGAACTGGGGGTGTTTAGCCTGGAGAAAAGGTGGGTCAGGGGAGACCTTATCACTCTCCACAACTACCTGAAAGGACGTTCTAGTGAGGTAGGGGTCGGTCTCTTCTCCCTAGTAACAAGCGATAGGACGAGAAGAAATGGCCTCAAGTTGCACCAGGAGAGGTTCAGACTGCATAGTAGGAAAAAGTTCTTCACCAAAAAGGTTATCAAGCATTGGAGCAGGCTGCCCAGGGAAGTGGTTGAGTCCCCGTCTCTGGAGGTATTTAAAAGACGTGTAGACATCGTGCTTAGGGACATGGTTTAATGGTGGACTTGGCAGTGTTACGTTTACGGTTGGATTCAATAATCTTAAAGGTATTTTCCGACCTAAATGATTCTATGATTCTGTGATTCTATCCCTCCCAGTAGCGTCCCTGCAGCTGTGCCAGAAGGTTAGAGGGTCCCCAGTCCTCAAACTCTCCATGAATAACCTAGAAATGCCATTCGTCAACCACACAAAAAGGCAGCAAATTGGTAAAGCCAATGGAAAGGCTCCCATTGACATCAGTGAGCTGTAGATCAAGCCCAGACAGACTTGTTAGAATAACTTACTTTGAGCTCGCCAGCTGAAATAAATCCACTGCTATCAGCGTCATAACTGCGCCAGATCTGAATGGAGATATAGATTGATATGACCACATAAATATTGCAGTTAATCATGTGCTCGGGTCATAGATCATAAAGATTCAAATCAGGACTTCCACAATGAGCAAGCTGTTGCATTATCCAATATTTAATTAATTGTAGACAAAATGAAATAAGCTTTCCACACAATAGCTTTTACTCGCATTTGGATGCTGTACATGTGACATGCTGCTATCACATATTTAATGCAGACACACTGTCTATAAAAGGAAGAAAAGACTAAGAAACTGCTCTGCGTTTCTTACCTAATTTGTACACGCAGCTTCTCTTATTGCCCTGACTAAAAGTCAAGGCCATACACAACTGGCCATTGATCTGCAGAAGTCCCCAGTTTGGGTGTGAAATAAAATTAACTGCAAGCAGTCTTGGAAAAATTGAAATTCTGTGCTGGGATACTTAGAGGCAGAGAGTGGAGGGAGATTGGGCACGGTTAAGGAAACCTTATGGGTTTGTGCTGCTCAGTAGGCCCAGCTTATGGAGATTTCCACCCCACACCCTGCCAGGATAATGCATCAGGGTAAAATGGTATAACCTTCTCTACCTGAACAGGTCAGAACGTGTTTTGCTTCCACAATAACCACGTATTTCCCATGCTGTGTTCTACGGAGGGTGGAAACGTACGTATTGAAGAAGCTGTTGGCGTGCAAGGGGAAGAGACAATGTGGGGATACAGACCCGCATGAACTCCACGCTGTTGTCCAAGGGAGTTTCCCGTCGGAAAAGCAGCAGAAAATTCTCATCATCCGGCAAGATAATATTTGCAAGCTGGAAAAAAAACACATTAAAAAAAAACCCAAAACAAACCCAAACCATGGAAGTAAAGATATGAAAAAGCTTGGGTGGCTGTTGACCCAGTATGGGAAATATAAGCTGGGCATGTTGTTGCCTTGGAAATAAACCCCAAATCAAGAGATCTGGCTAACATAGTACTCCATGACTCACCTCCTCCCCACCCAGGCTCTATATCTCCCACATCTCCCCAGTCTGCTCTAGGTCCTAATTCTCCCTCCTTCTGTAAAAGAAATCTGGGGCTGGGGTTGGGGAGAGATACCTCTTGGATTTGCAAGCGTCCATCTGTGGTGACATTGTAGGCAGACATGAATTGCTCCTTCATCCTCTGAACTTTTTCTTCTGTGATGGTGTTCTGCCATGAGGAAGACAACACACGCGTGAAATCTCTCCTCGCTCACAGATAACCACCAGGGCCATTGCATCCTTACAGGCGGGGGCTAACGCTTCTAAAAGCCCACAAACACACCACATTAGATGAATTCTTGGAAATTAGTGCTATGCATAGCTTTGTAGCAACTAAGCTTTCAGTTGGAAGACCGGTGTTTGGAGACACCAAAATATTTCAGTGACATCTGTTTCTTTAGCCAGCTATTCCCACTATATCACTGGGATTTGGTTTTGCAGCGGTTTCCATGCTGCTCATTTTCATGTTGTTCTGTTCAGAAAGATGTCCTTATCCTTGAACTACACCCCTGTAGTTCATTAGATCATCAGCCTTGAAAGGTGTCAGTGGAGCTAGAGTGTTGCTTATTACTGCCTGTCAACTGGTTCAAGACCTGGCACCAAGCCCTGTCAGTGTTTCTGAGTTAAAAGCATGGGATTTCAAGCAATTCACATTCCCTTTGCATCTGCTCAACCCCATAATCAATTTATACACTGTGAGGAGTTTTCAGGACTTGTGAGGTTTTATGTTTTGACAGGCATTGCTGTAGCAGGTGAAACACAACACTTCGGTTCAACAGGCATGACTTCTTTTTTGTAGCAGCAGCCTTTAGGATATCTGGTCTGCCTGGGCTACACAAGGTACAATTTCCCCACCCTGGGGACAGGCTTCTGGTCAGATGAGTTTTGTGGCTGGGCTGGGAAGCTCACCTAGTTAATCTCTTAATCTCTCCCAAGCAATAATGAAGTCCAACGTTACCCTCTGCACCTGCACTGAGCAAGTCCTGCCTCCTCTCCCAGTCCTATGGGAGATGGCCCTCTCTGGGAGGGGAGGGAGGAGGATAATCCAGACTGGCTCTTGGCATACTTTTGTAGCATTTTTTGCAAGAGAATAAGTTAAGTTCTTCCCTACCCCTGAAGAAAAACACTTCAAAGGTTTTATCATCTCTCCGTCCAGGTGGAGTCAGGACTATAGCTGTGTCTTCCTGGGTCTTCTAAGCCAGTTTCTCGTCCTTTCAGCTACTATTGCAGACTCATGAGGTTGTACAATCCCTTGCTTAATACTGTGACACAAGACCATGAGTGACTTTCTCCAGGTTACTCAGTGCATACATCCATGCAGCCTGCCTGGCTGTTCGGAAGCTAAGCAAATATACATCTCTCGGGAAAGGACACTCTGTTGCCCTGTCCCGGCAGAGTGAACAGCGGGTGTGCATGCTCTGCATGATGCCCTGGATCTGGCACTTCAGAGCAGAAGCAGAGCTCATGAGCACTTACCTGCACAAAGTCATTATGGGCTTATACAGAAATCTTTAATAGCATTGTCAGCGCAGAGGTTCCTACACTGATATCCGGGGAGAAAGACTTAATTGGCTTTGGATTATAAATGTCACGTCAAAATAACCAAGAGGGAGCTCTACTTAGAACAAGCGAAACTCCTTCACCAGGAGTAATACAGGACTAGGATGTGCCAGATGATGCCAAATTTGGGAATCTGGGAGTGGGAATGTGAGGATAGGGGCACCCACATGAGTCTTCGTAGGGCAGGTGGGGCACATTCACCGGGGGCATCCTTGGGCACGGTGCTGAGGGCTGGCAACTCCCAGTTAAGAGGCAAGATCACTGTCCCAGCATGATCTTGCAGGGACATGACAGAGGTGGCAGACCCCCTCCCAGGGCCTGCCTGGTGGTGGCCCTGGGTAGGTCCCAGGGCATGGCTGCAGGATGCTCCATCCCCGTGGTGGTGGCCGGCGAGCCCTGTGTGCTGCATGGCCAGGCGCCTGCACCACTGCCCCGGGTGGTGCTCGCTGCCAGCCCCTCTGCGTGCGGTCACTGGGGGCACAGCACACCACTGACCACACACAGACAGTTTTCTTTCCCCTCGGCATTTTAACTCACCCTCATGCTATTTAAATTGCCTTCTGACGGCACCTTGACACTTTGACACCTCCCGGGCGTTAAGCAAGCCTATCAGTTGCCGACTTCAATAGGCTTGCAAAATACTCTGAAATTATCCTCCTCCGTGCCCAGTAGGATAAATTATTTCTGAAACGATAATCATAGCTGATATTTGAAAAGTGCGCTGTGGAGTTCAGACTAGTCATTTGTTAAGGAAGCTTGTTGCTCAACGTCGTGTCAGCCATTAACCACCACTCATTGGGCTTTGTGTGGCAGGAACATTGTTATCTACATGAAAATAATAGGACTGCCTCCTTTTTTTTTTTTTTTTTTTTTTAACTGATTTAAACTATGGGATACATCAAGTAAATACCCCAAATACTTACAATATTTACATAGCTCTGACAGCTTTTAGTCCAAGGGGTTACACTATAGTAGATTTTTCAAATTGGACAATCTCTCTCTGTTCATAAATATTCTAATTATGAAACACAAGTAGTAATGGATCTACTAAAACCCAACCTTTACTCCCAAAGAATAAAAGTGAAGTAAAAGATACTGCACAAGCTGGCTTTCCCAAGATGTGCGCTCAAGGCAAAATTATTTGTATACTACCCATTTTTACACTGAGAATGATACATCTTGGTTTATGACCGTTAGGTTTCAAAGGTGACCTTTATGTTTAGCAAAAAATACCCAGTCCCAGAAGATTAAAAAAAAAAAAAGATCAAATAAGCCATGCCACTTCCAAGCAGAAGCCAAGACTGGGAGACCTGGTCTCCAAGACAGACCTACTGGTGGTGCAGACCAGTAGCTTGCTCTGATTGTCTTTCCATTCCAAAAACATTTAAAAGGTTGGAAAAAAACCTCGCATGTAATCTGCGCGATTTGTTCACCCTTGTCCAAGCAAGGCTGCGAACTGCAGACTGCTGCTGTATTTGATGACTCTGTAATCTGATTTTGGAGGTCTGCAGCCTGTGGTGGGGCAGCCTGGGCAGGCTGCAGGGCAGAGCCAGGACAGTGGGGCAGATGGCTGGAGTTGCCGATCCATCCCTGAAGGCTTAGGGAGCAAGTTCAATTCTCTGACTTGTTTAGGTTTTGTTCATGTATGGTTTTGCCTCCAAATCAGGGCTGTGGCATTGCTACCGTGAGGCAGTGGCACTGGGAAGCTTGTGAGTGGCTCAGCAGGAGCCTCACACCTAGACAAGAGCATGCTTCAGAAACAGATGGAGAAAACTATTCAGGCAAAAGTATTGTCTATGTAATATTCCATGACTTATGGAGCTGAGGTAGGATTTTACTACCCAAACATCTTGTCCTTGGTCTTATTTGTACTGGTGCAATGTCCTGGGAGCCCTAGGAGGGAGCACACCAGCTGGGACTCCAAGCTCTGCTCAGAAGAAAGGAGATGGACAGAGACAAATAGCAAGCAAAGTCAGTCAGCGGGGACATAAAGAGAGACAATATGGGGATTATTAAAATTTTTAAAAGCCTTGTAGATATAGCAACCAATTACAGTCATGTAAGTATATTAAGCAGAATTTTCTTTTCAATAGTATCAGTGGTTTGTACAGACAAGATTCAGGTATCCCTAAAAAGGATAAAATAAATATTGGCAGGTAAGAAATGACAGTTGAGGCAGTTTCTGCAGGCATGGCCTGGGCAGGGATCCAGCAACTGGCTGGCGGTGCGAGAAGGCATTTCTCGCGCAGCGCTGGTGACAGGGCCGAGCTGGGATGCTGGGGCAGTGAGAGGCTGCACAGGGGTACCGGCCAGTCCAGGGGCTACAGGAGCCCCCTTGCTGCCTTGGCCACCCTGCAATGAGGTTGCTGAGGGGAGGCCAAAGGTAAAGGCTTGGCAGCTCGCTGGTCAAGCGGCCTGATTTTTTATTATCTGCCTTTGAGCTCCTACAAATATTTCCTTGCCTCCCAGATCGGGGCAAGACCTACGATAGAGGGAGAAAGATCTGGAGCAGGAGAGGAAGAAGGGGAGACCTCCAGGCAGGCACACGCAGGGACGAATGGCATTTACACAGAAACGCAGGTGCTGCGCTGAGTGCTATGGCCTCTGGCTTCCCCAGGAAGTTTGTTTTTCCTTCCTTCCTTCCCTTTAATTATTAACTTGCTGTTCAACTACAGATTGCCACAAGCAGGAAAGCCTAAAAACTGAGCACGCTCTGCTTTCAAACGCCTCAGGCTCATGCTCCATTTATTCAAGCTCTATGAATTACAAGGGGAGTAATAAAAAAAAAAACATACACCACCTTTCTGTTCTGGAAAGCAACGGTACAGATAGCATGATACAAATTCGTGCCTCTTGTCTCTATGAGCTGGGACAGTGGCAAATGGCTTTGCAGTCAGAAAACAGCTGTAGTTGAGCACAGCTTTTTTCATCAGAGCTAATGCTGTCTTGACTATGTTGCCTGTCTCAAGCAGCAGATCCCTCCCCAGTTTCAAAGGTTTGCAAAGCTTTATCAAGTGTTCACTGCTTGGGCTAAAATTTTGCAGACTTAGCAGCTAAATAAAATTTCCGTTTTCTGAACATTTAAGTGAATGTTGTTGCATCCTTTCCGGTAGCTGTCTGTATGAGGAGGCCTTTCTTGTCATTCCTTGTTTTCCCTGCTGCATGCATCTCCCTGAGTTTCTGGAGGAGAATTTAATCACGAGGTAATAGCCCTAATTGACACGGGAGCACAATTTCCCCTGAATTGCTGCCTACTTAAGGCAGAAACAGCTATAGAGATGCTCACGTTTAGCATCAGTCAACACTGTAATGAAAAGTATTCCCTGCCACAGTCTGGAAAACAGACCTGAACTAGGACCTGCCTCCAATTTCGCTCAGGGCTGGGCTGAGGAAGAGTGTGGTTGCTGGGAGAGCAAGTGCTTGGCAAAAAAGGGTCCTGCAGCAGAAGTAAACCCCCAGCAATGTCTTCCTGATGCTTATTTAAGGGGAACCCCTCCCAACCCTCTGCTAATTTCCATTAAATATGATCTTAATCGGACTATAATGATGATGGGAGCTAGCCTGGAATGGACAGATGCTTTAACCCCTTTTCAGGTTGCTGCATGTGAG